GGGGTTTATGTAATACATTTTTAATGAAGGATTTACAATAGTCCAGTTGTAATTGTAGCCTTCAAATGTATGCATTAAAATCATTGATTCATATTTTATCAAAGTAAATGAATTAAGATAGTATATTTTATGAAGCTAAAAAAAATTAATTTAAATTATCACAGTATCGATTTTAAGGTTTAATTGACTTTTTAATTTAATTGCATTATTATACTACAATTGTAATGTGTATATATATAAATTGTAAATATAACTTATATTAAATATTTAAAATATTGATACGTTGTGTATGACTGCTGCTGCTAACAGCTTATCAAAACAAAAAAAATTCGAAAGTATATCAGCAACGATATTACTTTCGAAATTTTTTTTTGTGTTTGAAGTATTCATTCTTAAACCCCGATTAATTATAACAGTTTCTTTGCGGTTTGATATAATGTTAACTGAATTTAAAAAGTTTTTCAGCTGTTGATAGGAGGGATATGCTTATCAGTCGTATGGTGACATTGGTCTGAGAAGTTCCTGCGCCTTTAGTGTAGACGTAGTGTATCTTTCGAGGCGTCGTTCTCTGACTCATAGCCGGGGCACGTAGACTTCCTCCAAAAATACGGCGTTGACGTGGATACGGTTTCAGAAGAAGCCGTCTTCATGTTTGCTGACGTTGATAAGATTATACTGTGTATTTTTACTGAATTTTGTACTGTTTCGCTTTTACTTAAACGGTTAAGTGTTTGACAACCCGTTATCATATCCCTCGCGCTATACTTTTATCCTTTATTTTAAGCATAAATTATCCCTTTAATAACTGTAAAAATTTGAATTTAAGTATAATTATTCGCGTAGTGACGAAAAATAAGCGCAATTTTCTGATATACTGTACCTGCTTAGTACACATCAAACACGTTCGGTATTTCTCGTTAAAGTGTGGTTATAATGACCTTGACTGGTGAGACCTAACTTTTTGAACGTTTTTGTCGTTTATCTACTTCCTGGAGTATCGTTTTAAGGTATAGTTTAGATTGGAAAGAGTTCGTGCCGAATGTAGAAAGTTACTGGCAAGTTTAGTCTACTCATTTTTGATCGTTTACTCGACGTGTCTTACTTGGTTTCATCTCACGTCGAATTCCTGGGAATCACTGATGTCTGAAGCATACCTTCTATAAATAGTCTTGATCAAATCGACTGCTCAGATATTCTTTCACTTCCTTTAAGTAAATGAGTTGTTTGTAAATTGATACTTTTTTTTTTAAAATAATTAAACTAACTGTGATTCTTATCCAGTAAATTCAGAATTAAATAGCAAGATGCAAACGGTATCATACTAAACGTATTTAAATAATATTTCGTTTTAACATGTGGTTAATTAAGTAGATTGTTTTGATTGTTAATAAAAATAATGTTTGAATTATGGAAAATTATATTAATTATGGCCATTTAATAAATAAAAATTTATTTACAATGAAGACATGTAAAATTAAGAACGGAGAGCGTACATTTTGAGCATGTTATAAAACTTTGCTCTTTTGTATATACGTATATCAAAACTGAAATATAACGTTCATGACCACTTATAATTTAAATATCAATAATGTAAGTTAATATTTTTAAATTTGCCAGGAACAAATAATAAAGTATTTCACTAAAAACAATCTTGAATGATGGTAACCTTTAGTTTTTTTATAAGATATAAAAAACTAAAGATTACTGTTTTAAATTACTGTTATAAAAATAAAAAAAATATTATTCAAAGATATTTATACAAAAATAACAATAGACTATACTGATATAAATATTTTTAACAGTAATCAGTAACGCATTGAGACATCATCGTAAAGGGAATATTGGGAATAAGTTTTTGTATAGTTATTTTCCTAAAAAATGTTCAATCAGATTCATATATAAATAAAGATAAATCAGATATTCTTTATGCAATTATTAGAAACGCACATAAATAGTCAGTCATTAAGTAGTTCTCACAAATTTTCTTTATGTATTTATTTTGAAGTTTTACTTAATGAGGATCATACATCATTTCTGTTTCCCCTGAATATGCCTGTGATTACAAAGATTTAAAAAAAATGGCTGTTTACTGTTCATCGGGCAGTATAATCTGATGATGCGTCTGTAAACAGAATAGAAGACAGGCAATGCTCACAATAACATTATTGATGATAAACAACATTTTATGTATCATTAAAACGCAATAAAGATTACTTCATCGTTCACTTAAGCTTAAACAATGACATGCGATGAACGATTCACGGCTTTATGGATTAAATTTTTAACTAAATTAATATATAAATTATTAGCCATATATATTGAGTTAACTATAAATTAAAAAAAAATTAATGTCTATATAGCTGTATTTAATTATATACAGTAGAATAACCAAATAGCTGTACTTGAAAAAATTTAAATATAGATTAGAAGCATGAAATTTCGAGATGGTTTCTGAAATCTTCGAGATGGTTATATCAGTTAGATATAACTGATCTGTTCATATATGTATCATATTTATGTTTTAATAAAGTTTTCCAAATAAAAATTTTATCAATTGAAATCGTTAAAGTTGATTTACAAATCCTTCGACTTAATATCATAAAAGGACTTCGTTGTATCAGAGCACAATAATATGTATTGTGAAGATACAAGTTGTTTAGTTCTTATATCAAGTAAGAATCAAACAAATTATCAAATATTTATGCTTGTAAAACGTTCTTATCTGTTTATGAAAAGTGAACAATTATTTTCATGTCCACATGGATAAGAGTAGGGCAATCGTTTAACTAAGTCATACCACTTAAAATATTTAAGAACTAGAATAATATATTTGATTTAGAAAATTCAGATTTGAATTAATAATAATAAAATATTAATTCCTTCATTTACAACAAGAAAAAAAAGTAATTATATCATTTGTTGATGGCTCAATTATTAACAAAAACGTTTCGTTTCTGCGTAATTTGTGTAAATGACTCACGTGGTCAGTAGTCTACATTTGTATGAAATTGTAAAAGTTCGTGACATAATGCCTCTGCTTCGTCTTTACAATAAAAAACAACAATAATAATTGAATTTTCGTTTAAATGATTATTACTCGAACATAGAACAGCGAACGTTTTTATTATCATTTAAAAAACTGTTGTTTATATTTTCATAGATAGATTCGTTAAGATCTCAATTGTTTTAATATTTCGATTTATATGGTAATAACCATTGAACTGTACACTGTAATTCTGTTAAATACTGTGTTGAAATTTTCAACCATTTTATTCTTCAACGAAATATTAGATAATTTTTACGAGGGAAAAATCGAAAATTATCTGACAGTAATGGCTAAAATTGAGGAAACTTTTTGGAAAATGTTGATTTATGAAGTTTGACGTTCATAAATTTTGTTTTAACTTAACACCGTATATTTATGTATCATTGGAAATACAATTTAATTCAGAATACATTGCAATAAACTGTATAGAATTATCTATTATTATTCTATCAAAATTTATAACTAAATAACTTGAAAAAGAAGAACTTTCTTATGTCATATGATATGGATTAACTTATCTCATAACTGACCAATTAGCATGATTGTTCTGAGAATCAATCAGGTACCATTTTAATAAAGCTGAGATTCAATAAGGTGTTCGTATGATTCTGCTCTCAGTGTTGTGAGTGGCGTTAAGTTGGTTACTGTTTTTGTCCCCATGTTAATTTAGCTTAACTTGGTAAGATGAAAAACACAGTGAAAAAAATTGACTTGTGATCTTGAAAGTGATCTGAAATATTAAGTTTACACGAAAAAGCTATACATTATATTATAAGAAAAGTTGATGGAAATGTAACCAAAGATGGTGTTTTTAAATTACGTGAGATGTCAGAAGTATCAATGAACTTAAAACCACACTGGTAAACACAGGAAAAGATACACAACAATGACAAGAATTAAATGACTGTTAAGTGACAGAAGAAAATCATCTGACAAGTGAGTCAATTAAAAATGATTTCTTTCAATATGATTGAAAGGTAAGTGATAGGATTGTTAGATGCAGACTCAAATAATTTGATCTACATGCTAGAATTCCAAGGAAAAAGCCAATTTTATCTCTCAAGCAAAGATTGAAAAGATTATAGTAGGCTAAAATCATATTAATTGGATTGAGGTACAATGGAGAAAATCATCTGGAGTGATGAGTCCAGAATGTCCCTATTTGGTTGTGATGGAGTAAAGTGTGTAAAAATAAAAATTGGATGTTTGTATCCTGAATGCATTACAGCTACTTGAAGCATTCAGTTAGTAATGTGGTCTGGGATTGTAACACAATATAGCAAAGGTGTGGACAGAATTCGTGTGATTAATAGTATTTTAAATACCAAAAAATACACAATTGAAATACTTGAACCAAAACTGAAGCCTTCTACACACAGTGTTTTCAAGGATAACGAAGCCTTTATATTTCAAGAGGATTCACCTCTTTTGATATGTTTCTGTTATATACAAACTGGTCTCCAGGATGGTCAGGTAATAGTCCTAACCTAAATCCAATCGATAATCTAAACTGATTAAAGGAATCTGTTAGCCATAAGGAATCAAGGAGTAAAACACAATTGATAGACGCATCATACGATCTTGGTTTCAAATAATAACACGTGAAGATATTATAAGGCTGCAATTAAGGCAGAAAGGTATCCCAACTAAGTACTAACAGGTAAAAAAATATGTTGTATGCTTTGACGTAACTTTTGATAGAATAAAAATAATTCAACGTAATTAATTAAAACATTTCTTTGGCGATATATAAATATTTGGTATTCTAAAACAAACTGATGTTGAGAGCCATCAGACCTTAGAAATCCACATTTTTCCAAAAGGTTTCCACAATTTTGGCCCTAAGTATAAATGGTGATAAATTAATTTTGATGAAGATCAATGTTTGAAAAATGTGAAATATATTCTTGTAGTTTTTATTTCACTTTTTAATGTTTATATTTTGTTTGTTTAGGAATTCGTTTGTCATAATGTAGAAGGATGAATGAAAGTTCCCATCATTAAGAAGTGAACAAACAAACGGAAAAAAATAAAGTAAGTTTGTCTAATAATAATTTATTATCTAAAAATATATTTTATTACATATAACATATAAAAATATTAGAGTTTTAAATATTAATTTCATTTAAGAAAATATGATTTTACGAATCTCGATAAGAACATATAAAAATACAATTTAAAAAAATTTTTATATTTAAAATTTTCTAAGCATATTGTCGAAACATTTGGAGATTTTCAAATATTTTGCTATTTTTTCAATGCCAAAAATTGTTAATTCAATAATTTTTATGATGGTGATTTCGATATTTCTGTACTGTTTTAAAGAAGAACATATGAAAGTTTTTAAAAATGATTATATATACCAGACATGGACAAATGTGGCTCTTGCTGAAAGTGTTAATTTCTGCTTTTTATTATTATTTTTACAATTTTATTTCCATAAATTTTTGAAAATACGTTTATTAAAAAATTCAATATTTGTTTTATATTATATTTATATTATATAATAAAATCGCGGTACAGAACTGTGGCTCCCATGCATTTTGCAAAACCTACATTTCGGCTCCCACTGAACTTTGCTTGCCCACCCCTGATATATACAATTATAAAATATATATTATATAAATTAAAATATTTAGTTTATTAAATTAGAAATTAGAATATAATTTAGTTTCGAAATTTTTATTGACGTTTAATAAGTATAGTTATGTGTTTGTATAAATTATAATTAACGTCTATTTGATTTTGAATGTAATTTTTGCACTTTTACAGTACTTTCCCGGCTATTATATATACATAACAAGGAAAAGTATTGGAATCGTGCCAAATTTGACCCTCTGAGTTTTTTTTTCAAATCTCCACATTTTAAAACTCCCTGAAACTAAAAAAAGAAAAAAGAAAAAATTGTGTGTTTAATATTGGGATTGGGTAAATAAATCTGTCACGGTGACTTGTATGTAAGAGGCAATGATCTATTAAAATTTGGTTGTGAAAGGTCAAGGGGATGGTGAGATGGAGGATGGTTACGTCTAATATGTCCTGTGGGGTCAGACTTAATGAAGATTTTACTCGTTATTAGCATTTTTTAAAAATAAAACTCGTCACAACCCTCAAAATTAACTTTTTGCCAATTTATAATAATTAATAATATAAAAAGGCATTTATAACAAAATCTCATAACAGATGGCACCATACAATAATTCTATTTATTACGATTAATAATATGAATGTTATTTTTCAAATAAAAGCTCATAACAGCCAGAAAAGTTATGCAATTCGTTGCAGGATTTTTTTATTAATTTAACTGAGAAATATTCGAAAGGAATGAATTTATCGAAATGAATTATATCGACTTCGATTCATTAGGAGAACGAAACGAATTTAGTTTTTTGCATTATTTTACCGATAAAGATGAGAAAAATAGTTTCGTACAAATTAATATCACTTTCAGATATAATATGAAAAAAGAGAGTATTTTACGCATTGATATTTTGAAAAACAACGTTGGTTTTTATATTTTAGCATTTTAATTTCATATTAATCGTTAGTAAACATTTCTCCCCGTCTTAGAATAGTTATTATGGAGACCGATGTATATTATTCTTACTTTTAGCTAATAAAACAAAGTGGAGACTATTAAGAATTTTGTCAAGTCTCGTTTGTTACATCCGTTTTTAAATTTTTTCCTCTCCTTTAAATGCTCAAATATCTTATGTAATAATTCGTTAAATTGAAAATATAATTTAAAATTATAATATATAATTGAAATAAAATTGTAATTCATACTAAATAAGTTTTAGATAATTCAGTTTCTGTTTTATGAGCAAAACTTGTGAATTAATAAAACTTATTCATAGAAACTTTACCAATTCTAATTATAAAATATTTGTAAAGAAACATTTATAAATATGAAATTCTAATCTTCAATAATTTTTGACAGTATAATCATGACTTTCTAGTTTTCATATCTTTTCTATTCTTCAGTGGAGACTACTTCATGCTCTATGATAAAATTTTGTTATGGAATATCTGAGTGAAGTAATTTTTCACTCAAATGTCAGAGAAGCTCTGATTAGTTGATTTTTCTGTTCTTCCTGTTAGTATTCACGGCTTTATTTGCTTTATAAATTCGGGGTAATTAAAGGTCGATTTTATTACTTTTATGTAGGCCTAAAGTTTTATGGACTTCTTCGAAAGCATATTGTTTATCGCTTGAAAAATGCTTGTCTCTAAGTCGAAAACTTTCCACAAAATCTGATTCAATTATTAATTTGGATTTAAATTTCAACACGTTATTTTGATTATTTGGCAGGAATATAAAAAAACAGAACAATTTTGATGATGTAGAGCGAAAGGTTAAAAGTTCTTTTTGTGGAATGTTAGACAAAATATTTTGGAAATTAGAAATAAATTAGCATAATGATTGTACTGTCTTGGAATAACTGAACAAAATTGTAAATTTGAGTGTTTTGTGGTTTTTATTACATAATTAATGCAGAAATAGTTGATACTAATATAAATTATTTCGTACTGTTTTGTAGTAATGAGAATGTAGAAATTCGTTATCACTTTGAATTAAATCAGCTAATTTTAATGAAAAAAATTGGAATAGAAAATAATTTCTAGATCTAAAATATTGTTCGTGTAGAAACAAACAAATTCTTTCGAGTTTATTGAAATTACGTCTTACGTTAATACATTTTAAACGCATTTTTCTGTCAAATTCTTGTATTCTACACGAATTTGAAGTTTTAAGAATTGAATTCGTAACAAAGCATATCGAATATTATAGGTTAAAAAACTCTGTACGAAAGATTGTTCATGTTAAACGTGGAATGTGTTTAAAAAGCACGCTTAATGACATTTAATTTTATTAATGTTAGTCTATTGTGAGTATAATCTGTTAATAGCACTTATTATACTGATTTAACTTGCGGATGAAATTAAAGATTGAATCTCAATTTAGATGAATAAATTTTTATTTTCATCTGTATTGTAAAAGTTTCTTGTATTTCGGACCTTTTCGTTCCTCCTCAGCAGGTGTTTTATTATTTATATTTCTAAAATTCAATAAAGTTTAATAAAATAATATTTAAAGGACTATAAGCCTTAATTAATAACATTTAAGTTAAACGTCATTTTCTTTTATAGAAGTTCCATTTTTGTGACACAGCAAATAGAAATCCGCTCCATTATATTCGTTCCATTTACGTATATGTGGAATATAAGTTATCGAAGCGTGCTTCTGCAGAAACATTCATTTAACCATTCGCAATTTAGAACCTCCCATTCGATAAATTACCAAGCTATGACAAATAACATGGTGACCGTGTTTTGGTTGCGAACCGTACATTTGCGTTACTGGGACGCGTTGTCGTGGGTGAGGTCATTCGGAACTTAGTTGCCATTTACGGAAATGAGAATCTATCCTGCCGTAGTGGACGCTTATTTTATCGAGAGGGAAGCCGAAGGGACGACGATAAATCATACGCCAGTCGATCAAACGGTCCCACCTCGTTCTCTACCTAGTTTCGTTTTACGGAAATTAGGCGTAATATATTCGTTTCTGGTGCCGATTGCAATGAGCGTGGACAGAATTTGCACATTTTGAACGCGAACAAAACGTATCGAAAGTACGTTTTATTCCATTATGCCAAGTTATTTAACTCCATTAATGTTGAGTCGAGTCTGCGGTATGACTTAAAATGAATTTTTTTTAATTATTAAAAATGAATTATCTACTGACAATAATTTAATTATTAACGTCACTTATTCAGAAAAATATGGTGGGAATAAATGGAATCTTGAAGAAATTCGACTTATTGATTTACTAACTTTTAAGAAATTTTGTGGTTTGTGAGTTAACAGGTCTTTACATCCAACAAAATAAAATTTTTAGTTAATTATTTTAAAATATTCAAGAGAATTATTAAGGAACTGTTCGCCTTAACTTTAGGTCTACTCGATAGAATAATTTTAAAAAGTTACGTTTTGGAATTTCCTTCGTACAATTTATAAACAGTTGAAATTTCAATTAGGCCTATACACGGTATAGATAAAACAAAATACATTAATTATAATAATATTTTAAGCAGATCTTAATTGGTCATATTTTACGATGATCAATTATATGTATAAATTACATTAATGAATAATTTTTGAGTCGTTAATAATCATCGAATGATTTAAATAATGTAGATTATTTTCTACAAATAACAATAAAAGAAAGATATATGTTTTCAGCAAGCGTTGACGAATCGATATTGAACATTTAGCTATTGAAAAGAGCCATTCGTTAATTGTCTAGGTATTGCATAAAGTTACTTACATTATAAATTAATAATTTTATCTAATATTTAAATTTTTATTTTGTATTTAAGAATTTATATATAAATTTGGTTTAGCATTAGATTGTTGATTAATAATTTAGGAATTTTTCAATTTAAAGGTTTAAATCAAAGCTCATTTTAAGAACTGAAACAGTTATTTATAGTGCTTTCTAAACAAATTTCTCAGTTAAGTATTTAATCGATTTTCTTTGTGAAATTTCATTTAAATTTCACGATTTAAAATATATAGTTACGTTTATTATTATTTAGAATCCTGTATAAATTAAGGCTAATATGCTCTACATAAACGTTTCATCTCGAATGAACTTAGTTGACAAGGATTGATACTAAAACTTCACCGTGGACAAAACAAAAATATTGTCGGAAAGAAAACAAGATGAGAGGCAAATCGGAATTAAAAAGAACAAAGTGAGGACGAGACGAGTATAATTTCATTTTGATTCTCCTTTTAAATGAATAAATTACCAGACTCTAAACTAGATGGCCCGTCGTTGGAGGGGAACAAAGCTTTCATCTAAATGTCTATACATTAGTATATGAATTTTAAACGAAGATTTCAAATTATCGTCAAATGAATCAATTTTTCTTAAGAATGGAACTGATAATTACATTAAAAAATATCGAAGAATTTCCAATGTTACGTGCGTTTAATAGAATTATTTTTTCGGTAATTTGTTCTCGAAA